GATGTGGGTGTTATAACGAGAAACTTATAGAAGAAAAGAAGAGAAGGAAGAGGTGGTTCAATTCAAAGCATTACAATCTTGAAAATGATCGTTGAAAGTTGACGATGAGAAAAATTTTAACCGCAGCTGGGCACACAGAAATTCAAGGCTTAACAGTAAAAGTATTATTTATGCTTTATAAAATTACCAACTTTTACTCTAGCTTTACAAGTAATCTCATTACTTTATGTATATTTTAATGTTGTTTTTGTCTCTCTCAGTCTCTCTTTGGATGCACCGAATAGAATGGGTCTGAGCTGTGTTTTCAAGAGTATGAATCCTCAACATGTGTGTTAATTTGTGTTTGGAAGGAAGGTGTTTTTATTTTTCCCTCGGGATTTCCTTTCCTTATTTTATTTAATATAATTACCCATTTGATAATTAAATATCCCTTTCATAATCTCTTACAATTCCAATTTCCAAGAAACCCTAAACGCCTTAACCATGCTTTCCCACCTTTTAAAATATCAATTTTTTATTCAAAATTAATATTTTGTTATTATCTAAAACCAATTTTTATGGTAAAAATTATCTCTGTTATCACCGTTTGAACCTCTGATCACATCTCTACAAAATCCCTCTCACTTCGATATTTGATTTTTTGTTGATTGTCAATCACTGCAAAGTTAAGGTTTCCCATCCTTAGCTAATTTTTAACTGATTCTGACAACGAATATTCAATCGGTAACCACTATTAGATCCACCAGCCAGTAGCAGATCCAAAAATTTCTGTTAGGATAGACCAAAATAAAAACTAGTTATACATTAATATTTTTGTTAGGGTATGTCAAAATCTAGAAATTATACATATTAGTATTTAAAAAAAAAAATGAGGGTGGGTTAAAACTAGGTTGGATCTACCCCTGCCACTAGCCTCTACTTTACAAAAACCCTCTTTCTAATAACTCACCGAATATTGGCTGAGAAAGTTAATTGTATTTTAAGTATTAATGAAATATAAATTTTGAGTGAAAAAGTCATATTTTGAAATTTTTTGGGTTATAAATGTCACTAAGGCAAACCTGACGTGGTAAAAAGGTCGTTTACCCTTCAAAGGAAAGGAAGTTGAATTATACTCCACGGCTTTTCAAGCATTTTGTCTCTTTATAATTTTAGTGGTGCAGCAGAATCTAACGAATTAAAACTATTTGGAGAAGGTTGGTAGGAATCTACTGAAAAGGCACATCGCACACCTGTTGATTTACAATTGGCTATACTTTTGGAATATAAAGTTCGTATATTCTTTTTAGACTTCATCAAAAACATAACACCTTGGAATTTTATAATAAAATATATAAGTTTCTCTATGGAATTTGAAGAGATTGGATTGAATTAATCGGTTGTATACTTTTTTTTTTTTTAATAACTAGTGTGTTTAGGTCATCTTGCGTATACTTCAATTAAACTCTGGAGTTTAATGAATACTTTATAAGTCCAAAGAATCAGATAAATCACAATGTTATTGTAATAGATGGATCCAATGTTTGAACCTAAGAACTCAAGAAAAGAAGCAAACCTCTTTGACCGTAAAATTAATCTCTTCAAGTTTATCAGTTGTATGCTGGTTGTGTTTCATTTCTATAATTGGATTGTTTACATATCCATTGAACAAATATAACTTTAGTTTGTCAATTGATTTAAGTGCCTAAAAGCATCATAATCTACATAGATTAAAGAAATTTTTTTTTTTTTTTTTTTTTTTTGAGAAAAGCTAAACCTAATTAAGCTTTTTTGAGATCTAATGACACAAATCATTACATGATTTGATTAGAGGTGGTATGTTCTTGATGTGATGAGAATCTATACTTTTATATAATATTTAATTATTTATGTTATTGAGTGAGTTTTTTATTATCAGGAATCAATTTTAAGATTTGTTTAAACTACTTAACTAATCTCAGAATTTAATTTTCAGACCTACTATTCTAATTCGCACCTCTTTAATTAGTAGCGGCAAAATAAAATGCAATATTTAACACTTATATATCACTTTAAATATTCTTTTTGGGACTTTAGTTCCATCCTATGTTTGGTTTCTCTACAATATTGTATATAAAATGGATAATTACAACATACCCCTCATGATTTATCTTATGTACCAAAAATGTCTAAAGTATTGTTAAAACCTCATAACTCCCTACCTTCTATNGTATGCTGGTTGTGTTTCATTTCTATAATTGGATTGTTTACATATCCATTGAACAAATATAACTTTAGTTTGTCAATTGATTTAAGTGCCTAAAAGCATCATAATCTACATAGATTAAAGAAATTTTTTTTTTTTTTTTTTTTTTTTGAGAAAAGCTAAACCTAATTAAGCTTTTTTGAGATCTAATGACACAAATCATTACATGATTTGATTAGAGGTGGTATGTTCTTGATGTGATGAGAATCTATACTTTTATATAATATTTGATTATTTATGTTATTGAGTGAGTTTTTTATTATCAGGAATCAATTTAAGATTTGTTTAAACTACTTAACTAATCTCAGAATTTAATTTTCAGACCTACTATTCTAATTCACACCTCTTTAATTTGTAGCGGCAAAATAAAATGCAATATTTAACACTTATATATCACTTTAAATATTCTTTTTGGGACTTTAGTTCCATCCTATGTATGGTTTCTCTATAATATTGTATATAAAATGGATAATTATGATATACCCCTCATGATTTATCTTATGTACCAGAAATGTCTAAAGTATTGTTAAAACCTCATAACTCCCTACCTTCTATGGCCCATAGACTATGGGTGTACAGATTTTTTGACTAGAATCAGAACTGGTGGGTACCCGACTATCCAATTGCAATTTCTACTCGGAACCGACCCTTACAAGGTTAGTTCCGGTTCCTAGTTGTATGGAATTGATACTGTACGGTTTTGATACTGGTTCCATCATATCAAGGAATTGGAATCGAACCTGAGAACCAAAACTGGAACCGATATCTAGGCACCCAGATTAGAACCGATTAGACAACTAGGACTGAATTGAAGTATCATTAAAAACAACAGGTCTTACGAATTTTACATTTCAAATAAGAAAATTCGATTAAGATTTGGGGAAAAAAGAAAAAATCTTTCATTCATCATTCGTCTAGTCTGCCATTCTCTCTCGTTCATCATTCATCTAGTCTGCCATTCTCTCCCGTTCGTCGAATCTCACCAGTTAGTACCCTTAACTTTTTCTCTTTGAATTCCCATTTGTAAACCCTAATTTTGTCAATGGGTTTGATTGTTTTTGTTGTGTTGTTGAGATTGGTGGATGCAAATTTGTGTTTTGAATTTTAGGGTTTTGTGAGATTGGTGTGTCTTTTTTAATTGGATTGGATTAGGGTTATGGTTTTACTGATTTTCTTATTTCGAGATTTGTTATCTGAGAATTGGGTTTTTCTCAAATCTAGGTTTTGTTTTGGGTTCACTTAAAAGAGGAAGACATGGCCATATTTGAAACTAACAAGGAGATACTTCTTCCTTTGTTTCCCCTGCCTCGTTCAACTAATACATTCATGATTCAACATATGTGATAATGTGTATTATTTTAATTTGTTGGAACATGGTTGGGTACCCGAAATCGAAACCAAAACCTATGGTTCCGATTTCGGTTCCATGCGTTTAGGAACTAGAACCAATCGATTCCAGTTCTGGTTTCAAATCAGATGAACTAGCTAATTTCGGTTTCGGTTCCAAATCCCAGGAACCAGCAGATTTCGATTTCGATCCCAAGGGTTTGGGCCAGGTACTCAGACCCGTCCACCCCTACTACCATCAGTACCTTTTTCATTAGTTACTTTTCAATAAAACTTTAGGGTGTTTAATGTAATTAACCCATATATAAAAACTATCTCATACATTTCATATCCATGTTTTAAATTTGTGCATGTAGTTTCAGATAACAAACTTGTTTTAGAAAGTTGCCAAAAAAAGTTTCATCTAAAGAGCCATGAGAAGATTCTAAAATAAATATTTGAAACAAATTTGAATTTGTTAAGTAAAAGAGTATAGAGATTGAGGTTTCAGAAATTTCACCTGAAAATATTCCATCATCAGTCAAAAGAAATTAAGTTAGCAAATAGCAACAATGGGATAGCTCTTCTTCCACTCAACTGTTAGAAGAACGAGAGTCCCTATTAACTTAGCACCACAACTACAAGTGAATTATCATTTATCCCAACTTAATAGTAATTAAGGGAATAATTCTTCCAAATCACAATATTTAAGCCAAAATTACACGAGTGCTAAATTCTATTAATATAGTCACAGCTTAGCAAATATTTAATCAAGAGAAAAAGATTAAGATTTAACACATCACACCCCTAAAACACCTGCACGTACGCATTTGGAAGCATGTGAACTTGGAGTCAAATCCATCCCTGAGTCGGGTCGCTCCTGCCCATCACAATGTTTGCTTCGTTCATTCCAGCTCCACAACTGAATCCATTTCAAATGCAAAAAATAAAAATAAAAAGAAAAAGAAAAAATATTTCAAATAGTCAAAAGAGATTAAAGATACATTTGAAATTGATAAAAGCGTTTTTACAAAGTCAGAAGTGCGTTCCAAACGAGGTATTTTCTCAGAAAGTGCACAACTCAAAAATCAGTTAAATTATACCCCATGTCTAAATCGTAAATGCAATATAGAGGGTGTCCTTCAAGGAGGTTGTTGTTCACTTGTGATCCTTGAATAGCTTGAAGATTTTCTTCTTCTTCTTCTTCTTCGAGCTGGAAATACCAGAGGGGAAATGAAACGATAAATTGTGAAACATAGGAAATTATTTTGGCATAATATATTTATGTATAACTTAAGCAAACCTGAGAACTCATCCGCTTGTTTTCTTCTTTGAGATCTTGTACCTATCAGTTTTGTCCAAAAAGTCATCAATATTACATACATATAATGGGAGCTCGAAGAATTGTTTTGCCTGGCTAGTAAAGAAACTGCACCTTTTGCTGCAGTTCTTACCGAAAGGAAAAGCTATTTAATAACGATGCCTTAACTCTTACCTTTTGCTGCAGTTCTTCCAACTGTTGTAGCATCATTTCCGTCTGCATTCATAAGAAGAAAATTACTAAGGCATCAGCTTATAGCAACAACATAATAACCATTTAGAGATCTTTTAAACTATTTCAGAAAGAGAAACTCAAAAAAGTAAAGAGTGCTTCATCACATAATTATGAACTGCATATTGAAGTTATTTAATTATATTTTCAAAATCCGAGAAAAAATAATAAATTGTAAGGGCAAAGACAAGAAGAGTAATAACATACTTTAGAAATACATTTTGAGAAATAAAATAAAAATACTGTTGTTTTGGAGCAGAAGAGAAATTGGTAACTCATTTTTGAAAAAAAAAAAAACACAGTAATTTTGAATGCTTTTAATCATATTTTAGCACTTAGTCTTAAACGATGAATTTGGTTTTTCAAATCTTGTTTCTCATAATACAATATTGAACACAATTTGTTCGCTTGTATTCATGTTAATAAAACAAGTGTATTTTATATGCATGCATCTCAATATGTGTATGCAGGAAGGCTCCAAAATGATGTGTACCTTTCTTTGTCTAGCTTGATAGAGTGTTTCATCAAGCTGTTTCTCAATCTCTTGCAAATCTTTCAGACTCAGTTGTTCAAGATCTTCTCCAAGGAAATGCCTTGAATAATGATTTAAGTACTATAATTATTAGTATATATATCGAAAGATACATACAAGTGCTAGCAAATACACAGTTACCTTTGTGAGCGCTGGAGAGACTCATATGTTGCCCTTAATTTTAAGATATCCGGATATAAGATCTGCATTGACCCATAAAATTAAAAAGCGTATATAATATCTTAATTGAATAATATTATTATAACTGATGTGATATAAAACAAATAAAACTTTGAAAACCTAAAAGTCGAGATTTAATAAACAAGAATTGATGTGTATTATCAATTTATGTACCAAAGTATATATATTTTAACTTATGCATGAGTATCAGTTTTCTTTCTTTTTCAAGTTTCTGAGAATTCCATCGTAGAAGTTAATGCTAGCACCCACAATACTAACTTGATGATCACCAAAGCCTTTATTTTCATTCAACAATTACAACATATCACCCAGATACATGTAAACACTTCTTTGATCCATTGCACATCCAAAACACAGAATTAATAGTTGTTATTACACCCTTAATTTCTTTCCTTCTTTCTTCTTCTTTAAAATAGTAAGAAAATAACGACACTGCAATTCGCGATACAATTACATTGAGAAAATATTTACCACTATCATTGATGGAATATCCAAAGTAAAAACCATATCTAACTTTACCTAGAAAGTATAGGAGTATGAGGAGAACTTAATTTACCAACCTCTTTTTCATTCTCAGCAATCCTGCTGGAACTTGACGAATAATAGTACTGCCTGTACCGTTCCAGGATTTTGTCCACATTACTGCTAGAAGAGGAAAAAAACAAGTTAGGATTTCAATATAGATTCCAATTAAAGAAACAGTATTTCCGGCACATGTTAAAAGGACTATTCATAGAGGCAAACTCCTAAGTATCAGAATGTGTTTGGTAGGGCTTATTGGAGGAAAAATTATAGAAGAATAGCTTATTATTGTAGAGTTTATGAAAATATAGCTTTTATAGAAAAAAAAAAAATTGTTAGTTGTTTGATTAAGAAAATTTTTAATATACAAGAATATATAAGTCAAATTTAGAAAATAGAATAGACATATTTTTCAAATATTTAACACTTTAAATAAGGTAAAAAGGAGCTTTTGAGCTTCTCCTAGAAATCATAAAATAGTTTATTTAAATTATTATAAACACTTTTAAAATACAGTCAAACAACCTTTAAAAGTATTAAAAACTCTTTAAGAAACTCCAAACTAAAGAAATCGTAATCATTTTTTTTTTTTCTTTTTTACTCGTAAACACCTCCAATACTCCCCAATTCTTAAAGGGATAATAGTACACTTATAAAAACTTTATACAAAGTCATCCATACAAAATGAAGTCAGATTATGATTGAAAGGATTATTATGAAAAATCAAATCAATAAATGCACATTAAAATCACTATAGATGAAAATCAAAATTACTAGTGTGATTCCTATCTTAATTCTTGATACATGGCTAGGTAGAGAAAATTAAAATACGAACATTCGATAATCTCAAAGCTTTATTTACAAAACCATAGAGTTTACAGCTTGTGTGCTAAGTAGTAAGATCCAAATGAAAAAATAAAAATAAAAATTGGAATACATTTAAAATTGGTGTGCATATATACTTCAAGAAAATGGGTAAAGAACTTGGATATTTGAACTCAAAAGCGTTGCAAGCTGAAAGCCAACTTATTTGATGGGGGAATTTGTGCGAATTCGTGCAACTTCTGAGTAAAGTTAATGGAAGAAATAACAAGTATATTATTATATCTTATAGAAATCTTGGTAACATTTTTTTTTTGTACGTTTAGTACTATTATTATTATTATTATTATATAAAGCAGGCAACAACTACAGGCTATAGCTATGGTACCTTTCAGTTACAGTCCTCAAACTAGGTTTTCATTTCCAATTAAAAAGTACACGAAGTATTCCCTCTATACATCAACGGTTGTTTGGAAATGAACGTTGTTGCCTGCTTTATATCTATATAAATCAACAGTTATTATATATATATAAATATGATCTTGTAAAGAAACCTTGTCTGGGTTATGTGTGAGTTGATCAACTCACACATAACCCAAACAAGGTTTCTTTACAAGATCATACGACTCAGACAACCAATTTAGAAGTTTTTCTCCTAAAAAAAAAAGGAAAAAAAGAAAGGGAAAAGTCTTTCTAACAGGACTATAACTTGTACAATAAAAGAAAAATGATTCTTCAGATGTCAAAACTTGTAATTAGCTATATGCTTATAAACGATGCAATTACATATCATCAGGGTTTTAAGTGTTCATGCTCGACAAAAAGATTTTTTTTTTTTTTTTTTTTTGGATTTAGAAACAGCAATATGCTGCATATTATAGGCTTACTTGCCTTAAATATACAGTTGAAAAGTTTAAATGCCGAGTACCAGAATTAGGATGAACTATAAATTCATGTAACTTAGAAAGATTTAGTTGTACTTGTGAAGAAGGTTTTTGTCAAATAATGTTTCGATTCCATTTTAAAACTGCAAAAAATGGAAGTATGCAAGAATTCTAGCAAAGAATATGTAGTGTTAAACTGAAAGAAACCAAAACCCCAAAATCCAAGAACTTCATTCCATGAAGCTAAGAGATATTGAAAAAAGAAAGAGAGTGAGAGACAATGAAGCTAAGAAATACAGGCATGGAAAGAACAATAGAAAAAAGCAGTGGTCTATAGACATTCATTTAAAAAACTGTCCTATCAGACTTGACAAAAGAAATACGTCACTTTGGTTATCTTATCTATGGACAGATCAAGAAGAAGAAAAGAAACGACGAACGTGTTGCAGTGACCGTTTTGCTTATCTAAGCTCCAAAATCTCGAATTCAGATGGTTTCGATCAAACTATAATATTAATACTATTAAAAGTAAAAACAAAATGATGTTTCACCATAAATTCTAGTAGACAAAAATAGATTTAGCAGGAACTAGAAAGAGAAAGAAGCTAGTTATCTTACTGATTGCTAGCAAACTCGGAGAGTTTGCCACGGCTAGAGAAAATGATGACAGCGACCTCAACATCACAAAGCAGAGACAGTTCATAAGCTTTTTTGAGCAAACCACTTCTTCTCTTAGAGAAGGTTACTTGTCGGTTGATCTTGTTGGGGATCCTCTCCAATACCACCTTTCCTCTCCCCATTTTTCTCAACAAACCTAGCAATAGATAACACAGAGCAAGCAAGAAAATGGAAGTAATTTTTTTTTTTTTCCTTTTTTCTTTCTTTCTTTCTTTCCTTTGTCGTACTTTGTGGTACTTCACTTAGTATATAACATATTATTTATTTTGTATATAAAATTGGAATTAATTCAATTTTCCCTCATTCTTTCTTTAAATTTTATATATTTTTGACAATTATTCTCTTTTAATTAATTTAGTAATTTTCTATTTCTAATTCAATTTTTATTATATATAAATTAATAATATAACTACACAATTTTATCAAAATAATTTACATTTTTTTTCTCTAAATAAGTTTAAATTCTTAAAAAAAAAAAAAAGTTTTTAGTTGTTTTTTTTTAGTTTTTGATAAAATTATCTGAAAACCAACTTTTATTGACAACTCTTTCTCTCTCTTTCAGTTGTTTGGCTGTATTAATGGAGTGAGATTTAAAAGCACTGGGACTTCTGTAAGAATCTAGGGCCACGCGTCGAGTGGTCGGCAAGGTTTTGTGGTCCTAGATTTTTATCTTTATTAACTATTTTGTATTTTCTTCAGCTAGTGGAGGGATCCGAGTCAGTCAATAGCTTTAGCAGAATGATTATATGACTTGTCAAATCCAACAGTAAATCTATGTACAGTAATATAACTTAGCTCCTCTCGTTTCCTTTCCTTAATTTATTTATTTGTTTTTATTACCGAATTAATTTAGATATAATTCAACTAATTTTTGACATCCTAAAATTATTGATTGAGTATAAGTTTTAGTGATTATCTTTATTAGTAATAATACGGGCTTGAATTCTAAAAATCATGTTAAATTTTTCTCTTACTCTTTTATCCTTAAGGAGATTCGAACTTGAAAAACTATCTGAGATTCTTTTTTGTTTTTTTACCATCACACCGTTTATCATATACTTTATTACAATAGATAACAAAACTTATTTTTGATATATTTATATAATGGAATTTTGTTTTTTATAATCTTAAGATATGACTTGAATGTTGAATTAACCTTTGTAAATAATGTGCCCTGAAACTTTATATTGTTTGGTAACATATTAGAGCTTCTCTTATTTACTTCAATTTTTTTTTTAATTAATTTTAATAAAAATTAAAAATATATATATTAACAATATACTTACAATATTAATATCCTTAAAGATGTGAATGTTGGAATCCCACATTCTCTACTTTCTAAATTTAACATTATTATATAATTAATAAAAAAAATTAATATTAGTGATAGTGTAACATAATATGTTTATTTATTAAGTTGATTTTTCTTAACTTTTGTTCTTCTCTTCCTTCTTTAAGCATGGTACGATATTGTATTATTTTTTCTCTTCTTATTATCTTATTAAATTCTTAACATAATTCTCGCAATAATTACTATATATATTTATTGTCTTCCTAATTTTTTTTAAATAAATATATATCATTTAGTAATAAAAGAAATATTCAAGGGTGAAAGCACATACGGTAGATATTATTTATGGGTAAAAATATTCAATCTTCCATAAAATATTTTATTTATGGGTAGTTATATATGCAAAAGTCTATTCTATGCCCAAGGGCGGAGTTAAAAAGCTGATTTTGAGGAGCAAAATGTAATATTCAACAAAAGAGCGGGGCAAAAAGAAATTATAATTTGTCATTTTAAGAGGGCTTAAATGTAAGTTTGACGAATAAAGGGGGCTAAAATGTTTAAGATAAGTTTTAAAAATTTTTGTGGGAATGGAGGGGTCACGTCATACTATGAATAGCTCGGGCCCTGGCTATTGCCCATATGGTTTCCGAAAGCGATGCCCATTCTGACTTAATTGTTTCCACCATTTACAAGCCAAAACATTACGACGCTTCATAAACTAATAAATGACCTTATATTTAATGCGGTCTGTTGAAATGAACAAAAAGAAAAGTAATTACATGATGTAGACACCAACAATTTCATACGTCTAAAATATTAAGCGATCGCACTTGTTATAATTATGATACTGTTTTCATAATAGCATATAAAGATATAAAATAATAAAAGAGACAATAGGATTTTATATTAGATCAGTTGCTTAAAGTGAATTTTACATCTATTATATTTTTTATACAAGTGTATTTCTGATCATTAACCAAGATTATAATAGACCGTGAACTGCAATCTGGTGTTACAAGTGCTCAGTGTTCTAAGTGTTCTTAGAGAATGTCAAAGCTAGTTTCTTTCTCGTAGTGTGCCTTTGTTATTTTCTTTATTGAATTCAAGAGTGTTTGATCCCGATTTTGTGAGGGGAGCTACCTATTTATACCTGTTGTGCTCAAGATAATGATTACACTTTTACAAAGTGGATTGGTGCCATCTAGAATGTGTGACTAGGCCTGCAATCGAACCGAACATGAACGAACGAACAGGCCCGTTCAAAAATCATTCGATAAGCATGTTTGATTGTTCGTGTTTGTGTTCGAACGAACACAGGATGTGTGTTCGTGTTCGTTCGATTAACAAAAAGCTCATTCGTGTTCGTTCGTAACTTGTTCGTGTTTGTTCGACTAACTTGTTCAACTAACTCGTTTTACTAACTCGTTTGATAATTTGTAAATACCTGTTCGAATAACTCGTTCAATAACTTGTAAATACATGTTCGAATAACTCGTTTGAACACCTGTTCGAATAAAAAATATACACCAACTTTCCAATTGATGCTCTAAAAAACAAATATGCAACAATTTATAATTCATACCCATTTAATTCAACATTTGAAAATAAACCAACTCTCTATCTATATTTATAATTTAAACAAAACAATAAAAACTCAGTAAATTAAAATAACTAACCAACATAAATAATAAAACTTCAAAATAAATTAAACAGAACAATAAATCGTTCAAAACAAATTTAGTTCCATATCAAACATGACACAACAAAAGATTTGTTTACATATATATTTTTATCATTACATAAATTATCATAAATATTTTAAATTTTTACATATATTTTTGTATCAACGTGCATAAATTTATAGTGAAATGAAAATCTATTGTATAAGATCATACATAGTGTTGATTAATTTGTTATATATAACTATATATTATAATTACTGTCTACATATACATTTTGTGTCACACACCATAAATTCATAGTGAATGAGTGTCTATTATATATAGATCAACATATGTGTGATTAATTTGTTATATATAATGTATAATGTGTGTATATACAAAATTATTATCATACATATATTATCATAGGTTAAATATGTTATGAAATTACCAAATTATAGGTTATCATATATTTATTATCATCACATAAATTATCATAAATATTTTAAATGTTTACATATATATTTTGTATCACACACTCATAAATTTATAGTGGGATGAAAGTTTATTGTAATATATGATCAATACATATTTTATCATTACTGTCTACATATATATTTTGTATCAACACCTATAAATTCATAGTGGTATGGGGTTTATTGTAATATATCTATACAAATGTGTGATTAATTTAGGTTTAATTAAGCTTTATATTATTAAATTTGTTATACTATACATCGCTTGATTATACCTAGGAGTGTTATCGAGCCGAGCCGGCCGAGTTTTCGCTTAACGAGCTCGGCTCGTGAGAGAAGAGAATTAAACGAGCCGAGACCGAGCCGACCGAGCTGAGCCAGAAATTCTGTGGCTCGGCTCGCTCGGTATTGATTTTGCATATTTCGAGCCGGCTCGCAGCCGGCTTATTGAGCCGATTTCGAGCCGGCTCGCGAGCCATGTCCAAATAAACTAATTTTTTTTACAAAAATTCGTGGGCTGCCGTCTGAATGTCTGATTGTCTTAAATTCAAATTCAAATAAATTGAAATCATAATTTCACTTTGAAGCTGAATCAATGTTCAAAATTGAAAATGATAAATCTGTTTAAAATATTTAAATATGTCAGGCGAATTACTTTAACTTTTCATTAATTTGCTGGGCTGAGGAAGAATCACTAATGTCTAATTCATTTTGTTAAATTTTTCACTTTTCATTTATTTTGTCAAACTGATTTATTTTGTCAAACTGATTTATTTTTCTCATATATCCCCCAACAGTTAAACCTACGTAAATCATATTAAATGAAATACTACGCTATTAACAATTTATCATTTACCATACTATTATACCACAATTAAGTTAAGTGAACTAAATAATTTTTGTTTAATTCACTTGCACTTAATAAAGTTTTCACAAAACAAAATAGGGGATTAACATAACTATACATCAAGTGACATCCCCATCCATCAAAAATATATATAATAGCAAAAGATAATTGGCTGTATGTCTATTATAGCCCCACTCCTCCTACAAACAATTAATGTGAAACATATAAGTATAATTGTCATTTTATATAAACCATAAAGATGAAAATGCAAACCTCAACACAAATATAAATATTGACCTGCAGAATTCTACTGCCACAGCCAATACACTCACGAGTGATCACCAATTTGCTGACTCCCATCACCTGATAGAACAGAAGCTGAATCTCCAAGTGATTCTCATCCTCCTCTTTCTAAGATGAAAATAGATAAAATAATCTATAGGTTAGAATAAAGTTATTTTAAATATAGAATAACACAAACACATGTAAGCAATGGAACTTACTTTGCACCCTTTCTTCACTCCATTCAAAGTGCAACACCATCACATCCACATACAACATCTCCACCGTAGCTGGTGACAAAGAAGCTCGGTAACTATCATAACCCTGCTCCCAGCACTGAATGCAACTCTGAAGCAACCGTTGTGATCGGGATGGCTAGTGTCTCTCGAGCCATCCTAGACAATACAGGAAACTTGGTTGAATGTGCCTTCCACCACTGTAAGGCATCGATGAGTCATGATCCCACACACACTTATGGCATCCCTCTCCCAAATAACAGTCCAACTCAGACTGACTAGCTCACACAGTTTCAACCACGTCCAGAAAAGTGCTAAAATCATCCCAAGCCTTGGCTCCCTCACCACAGCCACCTCATCAATGGCTCCAGTCCATCCCCTTGTGATGTAGAAGCACGGGCGTAGTCACACCTTGGTTAGC